TGTCGGTGTCAGGCAAAGCTCAAAAAAAGCACCTATATAGCAAACCATTCTTATTGATCACCTAGCCATGCTTCGGAACAGAACCTGCCTCCGTAAAGATGCGGACATCATCCAAGCAAGCGAGTAGGATGACAATCCCAAGCAACACCTATGCAGGGAGGTTGTTCGTGGTGCTTGGAAAGGGTGTAGTGGAGAAACACCCTAGAGCCACAAATGCATAGCGTACAACGCCAAGCTGGCCTTAGGAGCGTCAAGGGCATCCAGTCTCTTTAGGACCAAGTTCAACTTGGCTTCATCGCACGGCATGGCTTCAGCCACTTTGGCCAATCTAGTCAAAACCTTGATGTTTTCTATCGGTTCAGGAGACAGTAGCGGGCAAAGTTTTTTGGCAAGAAGCACAGTGGCTGTCAAGCTTCATTCCTTCATTCCGTTTCATTTCAAAATCCTTATTTCGATTGCATGGGCCCATCAATTCTTACTAACACTTGTGAGGGCCTCCCAGAGACTTGCACAAATAAAATGAGCTGGGGTGACGGTCACGCTTCAAGAAATTTCTGGCAGGAAGAAGTCGGCGAGACCACCCATCTCCTCGAACCATGGCCGCAAGTCAGGCCTCAGACGTGAGCGGGTGTCGACGGGGTGTGACTGAAGATCCCATGCGGGGAAGGCTGAGCAGTGGAAGATAAGAACCTCACACTTGAGAAAAGCTGGTTTTGCAGTTGCCACGTCAACTGTTCATGTGGCACGTAGGTTGCCACTGAAAGATCATGAAAGATCCTTTAGCTAGGGATTTCTGGCATTGTGAGATTCCTACACGCCTGGAAAGCCCAAGCGGTCAAGGTGAGACCGCCTGACTACCAGGAGTTTCCCCTGGAATCTAAAGCCCTCAACAGAAATATTGCACGCAGCGACCCAGTCACCAATACCAAAGATTTTTTTGAACATACTAAAGAAATAGGTTGTTCTTGAACCAGCTCCCTAACTCGATCAGTCTATGGTGATCTATGGATCGCTGCCAGCCGAACTTTCAACCTACGGAGTATTTCCTAGGTAGGCATTGACTTGGCTCACATACTCATGGGCTGCCTTCGTTGCCTTGTCATAGACATTCTGACCTGTGATCTCCACCTTGGCTTTGTCCCAAGCTGTGCTGCAGAAGGTCCAAAAGTAATCCTCCAGGCGATCAGGCAAACAAGGCACAAGTTGAATATTGCAGTTGCCAAAAAATGATTTTCAGGACAGAAGGTGGTCAAACGCAAACTTATGCATTTGACAGCTATATATCCTATGCACTAGACCTGGTATGCCCTGATCATGTCAGGGCATCTCCAGGCTCAATGCAAAGCAAGAAAACAATCAACATCCATCAAACAATGGCCCAAGCATGCAGAATGGATTAGACAGCGCATTGCCCAAGCAATTCGATAGGACATGTTGCTTATTGAAATCAGTGTCCTCGTGAGCAGTGTAGGGGCCATCCACATTGGGGCGAATGACTTCGTCAAATGCCTCCTTGATGCCATCCCACTTGGAAGCTCCAAATACTGAGTTTGGCCTGTACCTTTTTGCAAAGGTTTTGCTTCGCGACTTCTTCCCGGCAGTGGCATCAGGCTGAGCAGGAGCACTGGCGCCATCTTCCTTTTTCTTCTTGGCTGCCTTGCCACGGTAGAGAATTCCCTCCTCTGGGGGCTCAGCCCCAGATTTGCGTTTCTTCCCGCTTCCATCCTCACTTTTCCGGGCCCTCTTCTTTCCAACTTCAGCCGGGTCCGCTACCTCCGAACACTTCTCGCCCATCTTGGAATCCAATGGCTCCATTGGCTTTGGGGTAGAATTCTTGTCACCTTGGGGTTCCACAGGCAAGTCCTTGAGACCATCCGTGGTTTCAGGGGTCTCCTTCACACGCCTTCGCTTTGTCGGAGCCGGCTTCTTTGCTTCTTCTTCTTCAGGCAAATTGGCACTTGACTTGGCGCGTGCAAGCCGTGCCTTGGAAGATACATCCTTTCCATCAACATTTGCCTTGGCAGACCGAGCCTTGCTTGATGCTGGGTTTGAAGGCTGACCTGTAGGATCCACCTTCGAGCACCCCATCTGTGGGTCCACTGCAGGCTCATCCTTTTCAGGATCGGCTTCTAAGGGCCCACTCTTCTCAGCAACCGCCTCTGAGGGTGCTCCCTTCTCAACCGACGCCTGGACCTTCTCAGAAGTTGCCTTTGAAGGCGCACAATCTTCATGAATTGGCTCTGAAGGCACAGCCTTCCCAGACACCTCATCATTTGTCTCAGCTTCTCCGGCATCAGCTGTTGCGCCAACTGTTCCATCAGCTGTTGGTTCCGGTGAAGCTTTGGCTTTAGACTTGGCCTTCGGCTTTGACTGGGCCTTTGCTTTGGCCTTCCCCTTAGCCTTGGGTCGGCCCTTGGCTTTTGCCTTGGCCTTCGGGCGTGGGCCTTCCCCCTCCTCTTCTTCCGCCGCCTTCTCCTGCCTCATGCGGAATTGCTGGCGGCGCAAAGCCTGGGATGGAATACTGAGAAACAGGGTATGCAGGCCACAAGTGCCCTGTTTGGGGTGCACATGCCTTGACACTTGAACCAAAAACACCTAAGAAATATCTTAAGAAATAGAAGAAAGCAAGTTGTACCCCGTGTGCTGGTCGATGCAGTGATCAGACAAGAAGCTGGGTCCATGTCCTCTTGGATGATCTCGGCTGCTGGAGCTTCTTCAGCAAGACGGTCAAAAGCGGCTTCTTGAAGAGACTCAGAGAGCAACAGGGTGTCCATATTGTCCGCTCCATAGGGCAAAGACTCTTCCACACGGATGGTCTTGGAGATGCCACTAGTGGTCCGTGACAAGGCCTCCTGGGCCTGCCTCAGGAAGAGCACTATCAGAACATGAAGAGGTTCCCACTTTTGGGACCGCTCTGGAACAAATTCACAGGGGGTGCAGCAAACACTAACCAAGAACAGGTTGACAATTTAATCAAGATTCTTGGCAGTCCGCAGCTTCTTCATGCGAGCTAGATTGTCCTGGAGTTCCTTGATTTGCCCTTGCAAGTCCTGTGAGTCTGCATCCCCCACCAGGTCAGTGGAAGGACCTGCTGGAGGTTCATCACTCAACTCAGCTCCATCAAGGGGTTCGGGTTCAGGAGCTTGAGATTCAGCAAATGGCTCATCCATGGCAGGCGGCTCTTCAAGTTGATCATCTTCCTGGCTCCCCAAGTCAATCACCTCTGGACTCTCACCTGCCTTCTCAGCAGCTTCAGCTTCAGCGATCACTCCAGGTTCGTCAAAGTCATGGCTGAGCTCGGCTTCCACTGCCACTTCATCCTCAGCATCTTCCTCTTCCTGGGTCAATGCCAAGGGCTCACCAGGACCAGTGCCATCAGGTCGATTGGTATCATTGCCATCCTGGTCCTTGCAGAGTCAAGAGAGTCAAGAGAGTCAATTCAAACAGGCAATGAACTATTATGGACAAATGGCTTTGAACAACAACTGCCAAAGTTTTGCACTCATGAGCCGTATGGTTCAGAAACCCTCTTGCCCAATCCTCATCCTGGTCGCCTCCCCAGACTCCTGCGGGGAATGCAGCAGCAAGCAACAGCCTCAAAGAGGTGGAGCGTGGCAGCTGCCCACGCTGCAGCTTCCTCTTCACGAGCACTGCGTACTTTTTGCAAAGCCAGGCCTCCAACTTGACCCGCCGCTTGGTCGGTGTCAGATGGACAGCTTCATAGAACTTGTCCAGCCTTGGCGGTGAAAAGGTCCCCACATGCATGCGTTTGCATGACAGACTATACCTTGAGAGACGAGAGCCATCGTGAGCCCTAGGCCTACAAACCCAATCAGCTACAACATAGCATGCAATCAAGCTGCGATTGCTCTAGCTGCGGAATGCTCGCCATGTCTAAACCACCAACCCCATCGGAGAGTCGCGTGATCAAAGGCAAAATGGTATCGTAGTTGGCCTCCAAGCCCTTGACTGTGCAGGGTGGCACGTCCTCCGCATCATCATCAGATTTGAAGAGCGAGCCAGTCTTGCGAGCCAAGTCTCGCAAAGCCTTGTTGTCTTCCCACTCATCCGCCAAAGTGGCAAGGTCAGGTAAAGCCATGTTGCGAAAACAAGTATACTTTCAGAGCCAAGAGTGCTAGTGATATAGCGCGATAAGTTCAACATGCTTGCATATGCATGCCTTCCTTCTCCAAACATGACATGCTGCTCTCCTGCAGTAAAGGGTGGCAAACACCTTGTTGCACTTGCGAATATAAAGAGGTCTAGTTGAAGGCAATCAAAAACATCTCAACGCAAAAAAATTGTTTGGGGGCAGTGCTACTGTAAGATTTGATTTCCATGAACGAGACCGCTACCAACTCATACCCCATCGAGCCACATGCTCCAAGCCATCCGGGCTGAGGATGTGGCATTGCTGATTGGCGGCGCTGCCAAAGAGCTCGAACATGTTTCGATGCAAAACGGGTTCTTGCAGAAAGTCGGCGGCGAACCAGGTGTCAGGTTCCTAGAACCTTAGGAACCCTTGAGGTAAACCACCAAAGGAGCTTTGAAGCAACACTCGGGGACCACTGGCAACCAAGGATTGCAAGTGATATTCCAGACTCCACAGGCACTTGTTGAGTTCTTGCCAGTGGTGCCGATTGGAAATTGCTAGTGTTGGTGGCCTCCCTTCTTGCTTTACATCCTTTGGAGCCAAGAGGGTCGTCATGGGTCGTCCATTTCACCTGCACAGCTATCTAAAGCAGGCATGCAGTTTCTGCAGATATTGAGATTCTTGTGGTTCTGCATTTTACGTCCCTTTCGGGAAAATCCAGGTTTTCAACTCAGAAACTGAGTTTGTTTGAAAGACCTTCCGTTTTGAAGGCACTCCAGGTTCCAGGTATATATATGTGTCATTATATGTCACTCAATAACTCTTATTCCAGTCTCATGGATGGTCTGGACCCAAATCCTCTCAGCGGACCCTCCGGAGAAAGCCCACGTCGCTCGGCCCAAGTGACATCCGGAGAAAGCCCACGCCCTCTTCGCTGCTCATGGCCTCCAGCTCTCGCTCCGGAGTGGTCACACCGTCAACCCGACCGGGTCGGCGCCATGTTGGGACTGAGATATCTAGTCTACACGTGGGGGTGGTTGAAAATGTAAAGCGGTCAGAGTCAATGTACATTTATATAGTATGATATAGTATGTAAATATTCCACATGGCTGGGTATGTTTCTTCAAGCACATCGTTTAGGGGGGGTTGAGGAGGTGACCTACCCCAGATGGAAGCCGGGGCAGCTGCTTGAGCTTAAAAGAATCGACCGCTGGGTGTCCTGGCTGGACTACCCTACCCTACTTATAGGTCTCCAGACAGGGCACCCATTGGAAGTGCTAGGTATGAGATCTGCCGTTTCTTCCAATGCCCAAACCATCCGGCCTACAATGGACCCCCGGTTACCACAACTGATCGGTACATAGGCCAGTCCCATGGATGGTCTGGAAAGTCCTCCCAGAACAAAAAATTGGGGAGGATGGCGGAGATCCGTCGATGAGTTCCCATAAGGAATAATTCATCGAAGGGGTTGATGCCAGGTACCATAGACCCAACTTGGTTAGAAAATCGACCTGGGGCATCCCCTCATATCCCCTCTAATGATGAATAGTGAAAGGCCATCTATAAGCCAAACAATCTTGGCGAAGGCTATAAATAGGGCATGCCGCACGGCAAGACAAATGTGAAGGAGCTCTGCAGGAACCGCGAAGAGTGTCTCTCCTACAACTCGTTATCCAGAATGAGGTCACTTACCCATACACTCCATGTATGCCATATATGCCTACATTGGGGTGGTTTGGGGGGCCAATGTAGGCATATATGGCATACATGGAGCGTCTGGGTTAGAGACTCAAAAGAGTTCACTCAGAGACTCCCAAGAGGTGACGAGCACAGACGATCCTGGCGCCGATGGCGCTACATGTCGGCGTTGGATTTTGAGTGGGCACTTTTTACGGGTATATCAAATCATGTCTAGATCTGCAGCTTCGTATCCATGTTTTTGGTGTTTCCTTATCCATTGTTGGGTGAGCTAAATCGGGCGGCCCTCGAGCACCTGAAGACTTGCTGTGTAACTCCTGAGTGCATCCTTTTGATCAATCACATGGTCCAGGCACATTTGAACTCAACTGAGGAACAGTGCTGGCATCATCTGGCATCCATGTGCGGACATTTGATGGTCCCAAAGACACATTGTCCAAGAGTTACCACTTTTGCTTTGTCCAAAAGTCGAACGAACGGTGGTCCCCAAAGGATTGCCAACGTTTCGAACCAGGCACTCGGAACCAGGCACTCGGAGCGTGACCTTGAAAGGACGGAACCCCCAGATCCAAGCCAAACAAACCACAGCGCGACCAAGCAGCATTGGTCACTTGGAGGAGGCCCGTGACGACGACCACGAAGTCCAGCCAATTCCAGGCCTTGACCGCGAAAACCGGCAGACCGGGCGAGGCCTACGAGGCGGGGCGAGACTCTCGGCGGTCACGGGACAGGCGAGACTCGGGCACTGTGATCTTTTGGTGTTATTGTACGAGAATGAACCGAATAGACCAATGATATCCTTTGGGAAATTATAGAGGGGTCGATTTGGTACCATATGCCATATACCTATTGGTTGTACAGGCCCTAGGGCATCTCTATTCATCAACCAATGCCAACCAAATATTATGGTAAAGGGACATCTATGGAATACGCTTGACTTGACTAGACGACTTACAGGAGGTCAAGCTACCAGGGGACCTGCAGATAGATTTGGGCCAGCCGCTAGAACCCAACATGACCGTGACTCTGTGTTAATACAACTTTGGACCATCTCTTGCGGGTGGTTGGTACTCCAAACTTGCTCTTCGTTGATTCAGTTCGAAGATGGACTTGAAGAAGAAGCGCAGCTTGCACCCAACTGAGGACACCGAGGACACCTACATGTTCTGGTGATGGAACATGACTTCAATAGGCTTCGACCCTTTCCTATTTGATCCAATAAATGCTCACCGTTTCCGGGGAAAGCTGCCAGGTGGGCCACCTCTTCCCACCTCTTCCTCTTCGATCCCTGGGCCCTCTTACACTCCGAACTACAAGTCACATGGAACGTGTGGAACATGGCCCTTTGGAGTCCATGTTCCTCCACGTCCGTTCCACGGAGAGTATCCCTTTCAAAAGTCAAATTAAAGGTTATCTGCTAACTGGGTAGGAATAGACACAAGTTCTTGAACTGCCTTATGCTACATCTTATGGTCACATACCTAGGAACTAGGATCTAACTGAAAAAATAAACCTCTCAAAAAACGAGTCGGAGTCCTAGTCGTGAACCGTCTTCAGTGGCGCGGTGGTGGGCTGTCACGGACTGTCAAATGTTCAGAGCAAAACCGATGTCAATTCACACTCTAACCCGTGAAGGTGCATGCTATGACATACTTAGAAACGCTCACTTAACCTGACACTAAGATGGAAGTGCACCTGCTCCTGTTTGTAGAGGATCATCTCTTACCAGGAGCCATGCCACAATCTTCCATGTTAGCCAGTCAGACTCAAAGTGCATTTACCCATGGATTGAGTAAAAAGCTGGATCATGTTTCACATCAACATCATCATCATCATCATAATAATAATCATCATCGCATGTTTGACATGAGGCATTTTCGCCATGGCCATGGCCCGGTCGTGTTTTCTGCAATAATGTGATGTTTGGTCAAGAAACAACACTTTGGACTTCTCAAACGTGAAGAACTTGCTGCCACTGAGGATTATAGAGACCTCTAAACCAACATGTCTGATAGAACATGCAACGGAAATTAGTGATTCTATCACTTTGGGTATATACCAGTGAACAACGCGGGATCTCCTTCTTTGGGTCGGACGCACCTTCTCAGAAGATCCACTGCCCCTTCTCAGGTTCGGTACAACTGGACCCTCCAAGGTCTGTGTCTCCAATCACCATGTCGGTCAATCCACTGGGACCGGATCAGACTCCCCCACAGAAAGCTCTGAGGATCCCATGGCCGCTCCCCCCCCAAAAAGGGGAGCACCTTGCATCCAGTACAAATGGTCCGATCTCTGACCTCCAAACCATTTGAACACCAGGTTTTCCAAGGCACGTCTCGCAAATAGGAGGTCTCGTCCAAGACGAAGCCGAATGCGATGACCTACCCGGCGACCCGCGGCTACTCAGGAAGTCTCGGGAGCTTCGGTCCTGTTTCCGCACACTCCAACGGCCATCAAAGGACCGTGCGGAAAGAAAAGAAACACCGATCTTGGCACTGCTAAGCTGAGACTAAGAGGTTTGTGGATGGGTTTGGAGGTGCACCCACCACAGTCTGCGGATGTTTCTTGGGGTTTAGACAGTGCTCAAACATGCTCAAGCCATTAAGCTCTGGGGTTTGCCATGAAAAGCATTGAACAACCATGGTGGAGAAGGCCTTGGACGTAGCGTGGACTTGTAGACATGTAATTATAGACAAAAGATTACAAAAGGTTTAGATCTAAGTTAACAAAGTGGTATACCCCAACAATCCCCGCCCGCACCAATGGAAAAAGGTTGTGAGGGTCTGAGCAAGCCTGCTATGGAGTGCCCAAGGATTCTCATGTTGTAGTTGTCGCACAGTGTTTACCCTCCCCTCGAACAAACATGGAAGTGGATAACCCCCTGTTTGGATTCTGATTCTACATGTTTTTCACGGATTAAAACAAAGACACCGGGCCATCCACTTCCATTCATGGATATGAGAAAAGATTCGACAATTAACCGGGCCATCCACTTCCATGATCGATATGAGAAACCAAAGGTAACGAGAGGGTCAACGAACTTGGAGATCCCCCAGATCGAAGACGCAAACAAGACCGCAACCCAACCGTCAAACGAGCAGTCGAACGAACGACGTAACAAGTTTCTTGACGCTGGCGAACGTCACGCCGGAAGAAGTAATTCAATCTATCTAGGCCCCCAAACAAATGATAAAAGATGATAAAAGATATATGTCTCGATCAACTATAAAACTGTATTTGGAAACCGTGCCACTCTATTTGGGGATCAATAGAGACCACCAACACCAGCAGTCGACTCGCCGGTGTCGCCTGCCTCACGCGGCCCTTCCGTTTCCCACCGACGCCACCGAGTGTTCCAGGTTTGAGTGAGTAGAAACTGCCTGGGAACACAGTCCCAGCCAGCCCCGACAAGTAATGCGTGGTCTTTCATCGAAGGCGGTAGCCCAGAAACGTCACCTGAAACATGCTCAGCCTAGGAACAAGTGCATCGCTATTAGTAATTAGCAAGAAGCAACTAGTAGCTCCTGGCAATACTACGTAGGAACAAGAAGCTACTAGTACGTACCATTTACAAAGTGCACTTGTTCTCCATACAGGTCATCACCGGATCTCATGTCATGCTCGGACCGCTCCGGTGACCATCTCCGTCCCCAGCGGGCTTCACCTCGCCCGCGCGGACCGGTCCCAAGCCGAGGGAGTTCGGCCTTGAGCACGAACTCCAAGGTGAAAAAGCCTCGGAAGCGGCCGGACGGCCGCGGCGCTCCGGCGGGAACGTCGGTTCGGTTCGGTGCTCGGTGAAGCTGCCGATCCTGCCTGGTAGGGGGGGCCTGACACAATCTTGGACCACCTTTTGGGGCTGGTTGCTACTCCCAAACCAGTGGTCAAGCAGAGTCACCTCATTGTTTTTCCTGAACTAAACATCCTTCATGGTTCGTTTCGATAGAAGTCCCACTGTAGGCATGCTGGCATCCCACTGTAGGCTGTACCTGCTCTGAAAGCCGACCATTTCTCGCGATTCCACCCAAATCGGGGAGACACAGGTGGAAACCATGACCATCACTGGGGTTGCCGCTTTTCAAACAATGTAAAACAGAATCAACACATGAAGTTGACCTGCGTCAGGTCCTGCTGTCCCAGCTGTGCCAGTCAAGCCGCAGGTGAGGATCGGGTCAAAGACATTGTCGGAGACCCAGTTAAAACCTGAGAAGCGGAACTGACATGGAAAAACACACACACGTCACACATCTACATGGAGAGACATACCATGACATTCCCAACCAAGAGTCATATTCAATCTACTCCAGGATGTTTGTAGACAGTCGGATGGATCTTAAAGATCTTCAAAAGATATGGAGTAGAGAGAGAGAGAGTGAAGACATGAAGATGAAGACACGTGCAAACCCATTGATGACGCCATATATCCACTTTGAAGTGTATACTGTATACTGTATACTCATACATTAAAACAAAAAACACTAGAGTTCATGTTGCTGATTGATTCCTATGCAATCATGGAAGCATCAATGGGTCAACCCAAATCCAGAAGAATAAACATTAGTGCGTATTAATAGTTATAGTTGTTCACACAATTTGGATAATAAAACTCAACCACCCAAGTTTAATGCCACACTGATGATTGTGGTAATGCGGCTGCACTGTGCGAAGTAGAAAGATTTGAAAGACAGCTTAAGACCTCGTGCCTAGTGCTTCAAGTCGATATGGCAAGTGCATCTGTTCATCTCTATCGCAGCATCCGCATCCGGCCAATACGAAGGAACAAATTGATGGCCACCATCCGGCAGGGCGGGGGTCCAATCAACAACTTCGGGCTTGGCTTGCATTGTATCATCCTTGATGGGCCTGGCACAAGACCCCCTGGGCTTCTTGCCTGTGGTCAAACTTCTTCTTCATCCTGCTTGACCCCGTGTCAAATGAACAGATTCCTCTATTTACGGGGATGTCAACCATGGTTTGGTGGAAGGTGTTGACTGACATCTTGAAAAATACACCACCTTATCTTGCAGTGCTTAGCATCGACCTCTCTCCCAGCATACCAAGCTCCATCCTCGGGTGCTGACCGAGCAGATCCACCAAGGAGCCAGAATCGGGACTGCGATGGTCGTAGGAGGCCAAGCATAAAGAGTTGAAGAGGATCAGGAAGAGGATAAACCTTGGCCGGCACCACGGAAAGGGTATCCGTTAATAGCCCCTTAGAGGTCAAGGGGCGTGCATTAACCACCCCTTGCGGGTCCAGGGTCTGGACTAGATAGGGCTTAGAGTTGGAGCCTGGTAGGTCCTTTCGTTTTGTTGCTTGGTGGGTGGGTATTAAGACCCAAATGGTGGTGCCTGAATGGATACAATATGACATATTACATCCTGTCCAGAAAGAATCTATAGCATATTTACCTACATTGGGGTGGTTGAGATGAGCCAACGTATGAAGCAACGAAGGTGCCATCCTCCCACAAAGAAATATACTGTATAATACATATATACAGTATATATATGGAGGAAAGACTGGAGGAAAGTACTCTTCCAAGCGTCCATGTATGTCCACTTCCATGAGTGGTCGAGTCTGGTCCTACGACAGCCCAGCCCTCCGAAGCCGTTCGCGAACCTGCTCCGAACTATGGCACCAAACCATCCGAACAGGAACCGTGCGGCACGTGTCCATGTAGACATATAATCACCAAGCAATCATCCCTATCATCACATATCACTACACCCTCCTGCTTGCGTCTTTTGGGGCGCAAATTCTCAGGCTGATAAGTCTAGGTCAGAGCTTTGCATCACGGGAATCGCTCCGACCACCGAGCGGAACAGTCTCTCCAAGTGGAGAAAGACCACCGAGCCGCTTGTCGAAGAAGAACCAAGTTACCAGCTCGATGACCTCGGTGGAAAGACTGGAAAAAAACAACCTTAGCAGGGATTTGTAGAGGACTAAACACCTGGCTCCAACCAGAACAAATGAACCATATTTAAATAACAAACTATTGGAAAAAACACAACACAAACAATAGGTCCAATGACAGAGTCCAACGGAGCCTGATAGCCTTCGTGTTCCCTTTTCGATGCCTTGGGTGTCCAATTAGCTTGGTGAAATCTTGAGTGGCTAAGCAACAAACAAACATCAAACAAACATGCAATCTGCAACATGCTGTCAATTGTGGGTCACAATCCATCTCAGGCACCGAATTCTCTTGTTTTTGCTGAAGAATATCTTGCACTAACTAGGAAGAATGCGGGGGTTTGGTTCCACAGTGGAATGAATATGGACACATGTTTGCTGTCGACTCCTGCCTTGGTGGACATCCTGAACATCCTGGAACTACAACACATCCTCAGCAAATGGAGGGCATGGTCTCCATACCTTCGAGGCCATGGTCTCCATGACCGGTTCACCGTGTGACATCAGGTAGCGGACCACTCTGGAGAGCGGATTGAACATGGTCCTTACCAAGCTTGATGACTGCCAACAAGGCAGTGGGGTTCAAAACTCGTCGAAAGGACAATTAATGGATGGGACCTAGATGGACCTAGAAGAGGTGCCGAACAAGGCCATCTCGAAAAGGATATCATCTCCATTGCAGTCGACTGTACACCATGTCTGACTCAAATGCAAAACATCGATTTCTGAAAGGCAGAAAGCCATGGAGTCACACGTCCGAAGGCTTGAACATGGGGTGCACGTCAGAAGCCCTATGTCCCACAGGCTTTCTTGAGGCCCCAGGCGTGTCGTCGGAAGCAGCTCTTCAACGGAAAGATGTACAAAGACCTCCTGCAAACCTTCAGCCGAGCCAGAAGTTCGTGCTCCAAAACGGATACATGATCAATCCCTATAGGGCTCCAACTACCTACTGAGAAGATGGTGCCAGAGGGGTTGAACCAACTTCTGAGGATATAGTTGGAGCCCTACGGAATGAAAACACCGAGGGTGGAGCCTGGTCGTTCCGCACCAGGTGACGACACAAAGATCTTTTATAGACATCTCAGTTGTCCAGTTGTCCAGTCGAAGCTGTTGTCTTCTTTTCTCCTCTTTTGATAGTGCCAATGTTCACATCACATGTTAACCTGATAGCATTCTGTCATTGTGTACCTGTACAGCCAATGCCCTTCCCCGGCAACCCGAGGTTCCTTTCCATGAATCGGGGGGGGCAACGCATACCCGAAGAAACCGTGGGGCGGCTGCATCTGTCTTCGCCCATTCGGAGCGCAAACGAGTCATGACTCGATCCCACAAACCCGCGTAGTTTCAAACCAATCATCAATCATCATCACCATGCAGTGGGAAGTGGGACCAACGCAAAGTTGCGGTACTTACCCTGAGATGGGCAGCCTACACCAACACCCAGCATGGAGCCGACACCGAACCTGCGATGGCTGAAGGCAACTGATCAAGTCTGCGTGAGTCCGCAGAACTCGACCACCATCAGGCTGCGTAACCACCTCCAACAAAAATTGCCTTTTAAAAAAAGGGTGATGATATGATGAATCTCATGAATCCACCCACCCACAAAGCCAAAAGGGTCCTCTCCCCATCGAGATCTGGTCTCTCCTCCTTTCACAACCCCCCCACAACACGCGTCCGCTCTCTATCATCTCTCATTGTACTCGCTTCCCCGTACTCGCGCCGCTTACGCCCCGCTCGCGAAGCGCCTGAAACTCCTTTCCACGGAGTCGCACGCGTGCGAGCGAACCCGTCTCCAGATCGCCCTCGTCGATCACTTGGAGGCCTCGGGCGTGGACGTGGACCCGACCGTTGGACCCCTTCCCCGGTCGGTCGGTCGGAAGGTCCGCTCCTTCGCCGGTCGGGTCGTTTTCACTCACGAAGCCCTTCGGTGTGGTGGCCATGAGTCTCAAAGTCATCAAACCGAGGGGGGTTTTGTAATGAAAGAAGTCTCAAGTCTGCTGGGTAGTTATTAATGGACCAGGAAGTCAGGGGAAAAGTCAATCATATCTGTGGTTGCCTGGGCGTCAACCAAGAATTCTGAAGTAAGAACAGTCCTCAACTATGTTCAGAACAAACCTCAAAAGTAGACTAGACATTGTAAGGAGCAAACATCCATGACCTACACAGTCCGTGTTAATTAATATATGATGTGTCTCTCTCTCTATATTATATTATAATATATATGTATTTTCCACCAAGCACAACGGGTGTGTGAGACTTCATCCCCTTTTCTGAGTGTAAAATAAGTGTAAGGATGTGTAAGGTAAGGATCCCTTACTTTCAAACGATGTCAAGATTTCGAACCTTTGCTTGACCAAAAAATCCTCCCACACCTGTTGCAACACCCGCACCTGCTCTCCTCATGTCAGTGGTTCTTCCAAAACGACCCCATGATTCTTGGACCGATCTCTTCGAAGATAACACACAAAATACCACGGGGTCGCTTGCGCTTGCGCGCGCGCTTAAGCGCGCGAGATCACATCGTCGCGTGTGGTGCGTCGGTGGCCAGACTTGGCCAACACTTGAACTCCTCCGGTTCCGTGTCGTACCTGGCCACTTCGACGCACTGGACCGGAGGAGAGACTGTGACGACGTTCGGTCTCCCGAACCAGCAACGTCATGGGAGCGAGATTGGATTTTCCATGGGCACCATGGGTTTTCCAGGGGATCTCCCTCTTTCAACCTGGAGCCTGGAAGGTCCATACAGACCAGTTCGACAATAATCATGAGGATCACAATGCTGTTGGTTTCTGGAAATGATCCACCGCCAAAAGAAGTACAACAAAATCAACACAACACAAATGCGGCTGGATGATTATGATGGTTACACAAATCGTTCCAACAAACTCAAACTCTGGACCACGAGGTCTGTTTGGTTGGCCTGTTGGTTGGCTGGCTGGTTGGTTGGTTGGTTGGATGTTCACAGATAGTCGTTATGTGTTGCCAGGTGGTCAGCAAAGTTCTTCCAATCGTACAAAGAATTCTTCCTGCGCAAAACAAAACCATGCACTCTTTGGAGCACACTCTTTGAACACACGAGCCTCTCACTGGCTCTCTGTAGGTTCAATCTTTCAATCCTAGTCTTTAAACACTGGAAATACATGGAAATACTGTGGGTTCTCCATCCCAGCTCTTTCTTGCATCACCAGTATTCCCTAGATCAAAGATGCTCAAAGGTGCTTCAGTAGCTAGTTCATCCCACAAAAATAATATATCAATATTATATATATAACTCCGGCACGTCCCGAGAAAAGAAAAGAAAGCAACAGCGAAACCACACATTTCGGAGGTCGAAACTCATGCGGGAAGCGCAGGAGCTTGGCTGGACCCGTCGTGGGAGGCGACAATTTCTCTTGCCTCGTGCGGTGGATCCGAGAACCACCCAGCACCCCCCAAGCCCAGCAGGGGCCCAAGGCGCCACCAGAGACCCAGTGTTTCAAGAAGCCTACCACAAACCTACAAGCCGCGACGACTAGGAGTAGGAGGTGGTTCACAAACACCCCAATTTGTCCTGGCCTGTCTGTTTCGGAACACAGAAGCCTATCCAGGATACAGTAAATTTACAATCATGTGGGATAAGTTTGACCTAGTGCCAAATACAACACGGCCATGCGAAAACAAGTCGTTGGGTCGCACTCACACGGGGCAATGGTTGGAGAGACGGCCTGCTGTAGATCTAAACCCTGTACCTTGACCTTGACATGATCTCCAAACAAAGAATACAATTTGCCTGCTTGGCCATGGATATGTTTGTCCTCATCCCAGAAAAAGAATCAGGGTCTGGGTGTGAATTCCAGACATGCCAGAAATGGAACCCATTTCTTGTCGCCTTCAAGGTCGCCTACTTCGCTGCTTGGCCCAGGACCCTCAGGAGCATCGTCTACTGTCCATGGCTCCATAGCTCACTTGGAGAACCGTGGAGGTACCACCTGTCGCATGCAGCGACATGGGATGTGTATCAAAATAGGGAAACCTTCCACTTCGACACCCTTGAGTGAGAGGAACAAACGAGCAGTTGACCCGGACCCAAGGATGTTGGAAGATGTTGGAGGTCTCCCCAATTAAATACGCACCTACATTCCAAATAGCTCCAAGCTGCGAATCTGACGGACGTCCCGCCATGTCGCTAGGTGACCTCAGTGAATGAAATCAGGGACTGTAAGCTTCATGGATAAAGGTTGGGAAGGTCAATAAGTACAAAATCATCTAATCATGACACGCTTCCAGCTTAAGTTCGGACATTCTCTTGTTGATCTGCTTGGAAGAAGAAAGGGTTGCAAGCCTGATGTGTCAGGTATACATTCTTACTTGGTTGATTCACACGGCAGGTCCAAAACCCCTGCAGATCCCTGCGGGAGAAAAGAACGCACACACAAACGCAAGCCATCGCAAGCACATCCGCGTGCACCACTTGCAGTTGAGATGATACGATGGACATGCGGAAACGCACTGAGGTGGTCTCCAGGAGTCTTTTTTGAGACGACCACCCACTCCTGAAGAACTTGGGATCTAGGTCTCAAGCGTCCAGCTATTTGGAGATGACTCCCGAACAAGGTCCACAGATCTACATCCAGCACATCCTAGTGATGGGGTAGCTTGGTTGCTACTTCATTTGGAGATTTGGAGGTGATCCACTTCAAGCAAAGCCTGTATAGCTATACTTTTTCCTGGACTTCAACTGATCTGACTTGCGCTCTGGGATCTCTGGGCATCCGGACGGGTCGGAGCTGGCGGCCGCCTAGATGTGAAGGTGGAAGGGACTGTTCCAAGCATGTCTCCGAAATGAGATGTTCAATGGACTGAACTATGGACCGAAAAGTATACTTCCCCCCCCCCCCCAACAAAAAACATGTAAGTTAACCATGTTCTTTTTGGAGTATGGGGAGATACTGACTCTCTCAGTACATGAGTACTTTCTGGCCATTTGACCTGGCAACATGATGGGGACACGGGTCTTGGAGATTCTGGGAACACGTTCCTCTTCCAAGGCGTTGCTGGTCAGGAATCAAGTGGTGGAGCCTCTACAGACGCGACCCCTCTTCTCGACACCCAGAACGAGCTCGAACCCGATCAGACCGGCGAATTCCCGTGTGGATCGGCTGTTCGTCTCCCCCTCGGGGCGCGACCGGTCTGGACCATCGGTCCGTCGCCAGGTCCGTCCCGACATGGGTTCGCCAGGTTCGACCGAATCGATCCGCTGGCGGATCACCGCTCACCGGATCTTTATCCTTCATTGTGTCCATCCTGAAGAGGCTCCAGATCTAGAAAACCACATGGTTAAGATGGATCACACATCTGTCAGAAGAGACTCCAGAGAACATCTGTCTTGGCTCTCCAGGAACCAGAAAAGAATATGAAAAAATCACCAACTACTCCCCAGTTTCGGGGAATCACCAACTGGGTGCCAATCCCAAAATCCACCCCAACATGTTCCGTCCCAAAGTCAGAACGGATGGAAAACCCCATCCATCAGGCCAAGCCACTTTCTCATGAGGTTCATGCTGGTGCCGGCTGTGATGGGCCCGGGGATCCTCTGGATGGATGTAGTGGCCTCATGGACCGGCTGGATCCGCCGACCGCCGACCGCGAGAGCGGGGCCCATGTGCTGTACATGGAGGACTTCAAAAGATGTGGCTCAGATTGATAGAGGTTGCACTCTTGCACAACAGCCAACAAAAGCAGAAAAAGGAAACCAGTACACAAACACACACACCTCTTTCTCTCTATTACCTTCATCCAAACATACTGCCATGATCAGGCTTCTTCGTGAGATCAACAAAGACCCTCGGCTTGCTTGGTAAAAAGAAATAAACTGCAGAAGAGAGGCGGCGGTGGTGTTCGTGATGGTGATGTCGCTCGTGGCGATCGTGTTGATCGTGGTGTTCATGGCTGTGGGAGTGATGATGTTCTTGGCTGTGCGCATGATTGCGCTCGTGGAGAATATAGCCTGGCGGCACGCACCGAACCTGAACTGTCGATGGCATTGCATTGAAGGTTCTCAGCCATTGGTGGATTCCCCCCTGCGCCTCAAGAGTCTCCCCTTGTTTGATCTGGAGGGTGGAGGGTGATCAACACTGTGAACTGTGAATGCGAAACCGAAAGAAAAGAAACACTTCACCCACTCCTTCACCACGGTTGTGGGTCTCCTTAGGCCCTGGGGCGTCCGTCTCCCAATCTTCCCACCAGCCAGCCGAGTTGTGAGACCTTTTCGTGGGCCCGGCGGACTCTTATGGTTTTGGGCCCTCCAATTTCAGGTCGGCTTTCGTGACTGAAGATCTTCTGTCTAATATGTTTGGATCTTGACTGGTTGCGCCATGGTGGCGGTTGTGGTGGTGGTGGTCTCAGCTTGCAAACAGCATTTCAAAAGCAAAACATGATGACTCAAGAACCAAACCAAACATCTACATTGAAGGGGAGCTTTACGGAACGGCTAGTGAACAAGAAACTCAGCAACAAGGAGCCCAACCTACCGAACGAGTCCCCATGAGTCACAAAGAACAGGTCCCCAGGGTCGAAAATGCTCGAGTGCCTGGATTCACCATTGGACCGCATCACTGCCTGCCGGTTCGGCCGGAAGCGAAGCGAGAGAGACCAAGGAGGTCTCTCGGGCACCAGACACTCCATGGGACTGGCGTATTTACCATGATTTACCGATCAGTTGGGGTGGTTTGAGAGGTCAATGTATACGCAATATGACAGACATGGAGTGTCTGGGCAACGGGTTCCGTTTTCATCCCGGTACGCAGTACCGGGACCCAACTGTCTGGCACCGACATTCCCTAGCAGTGGATCAACACATCACCGACCTGATCCCGACTGGGCATGATGTGGATCTGATCTCTCTCTATCTATATATATATATATGCCATGACCTTCCAACAGGTCACGATTAAAGGCCTGTTAAGCCTAAAACCAGAGGAGGCCTGTCTGAATTTCAAGGTCTCAACATGTTGGTTTTGCTTGTTTTGACCTTCGACCATGGGTGTATAATATATATACATTATATATATATATATATTTCACCATGGGTGGTCTCCAAATAGGTAGAAAACGCATGGTTTCCCATACATTCCGAACGTGGGGATCTACTTGTTCTGATCTATTTTGAGGTCCAACAAAAAAGGGTGATGCAGATGCCTTGAGCAATTTATGAGTAGCTCCACCTTCTGCCAAACCGAGCTCGGAGGGAGGTCTGGATAACAAACAACAGAATCTTCTCAAACCCACACAGATCTGGAACCACTACACCTCTATCTATATGTGTTTGCTTTTGCATTGATTCTGTTGCATAGAGACAGTATAAAAATATTTCCTGGTACCGTGTATAATCTAGAATGTCATACTATATTTACAAACTGCATCAAACTGCTACCAAGTCATGCATTGCCACCAAATTACAAGGCATAATACTGCATAATATTGGACACAACTGCGCCCACCATTCCTGAAAAAAATGAAATCAACTCCGCCCTCCTCCCCCAAAACATATACACCCATCCCACCTGGACCGCTGGAAACCCGCCTTGGAAACCCCCACGCAATGCCGGTGACATCGCTTCCTCGGGCGATTTCTGTCTTCGTGTTTTTCAAAAAGGCCGTCCACTGGGAATCCGCTGCAAGCAGTGGAAACAGAGCTTGGAGGTCGGGGTAGACCCTTAGACTAAGACCCGCCATTGTTCTAGATTCTTGAAAGTCTGGCACAAATCTGCAGTGTGGGTTGCTGCGCCGATTGGAACACAACAGTACACGTCCTGGCCCCGTTGCGCGGGTGGTCGCCCGATCTGCGAAGCACATGGGATTTGTGGGGCTGTGCTTTCTGGGGCGGTCCTGGCCGCAGCATCTTGGTACGTAGTCACTTCCGCGGGAAGGAGAGGAGATGAACAAACTCCTCTTCAGCAGTGAAGCCCAATTACTACCTAGAACCTATTTGACCTCTGTTTTGATAGGAAAAGACCCGTTTTTTTGAGTGGTTGGTGGTCCAAAATGGAGGTCAGACTCAGGTTCTATATTATAATATATATAACCAGGACCTTCCAAGAGGTGTCTATAAATAGCCTCGTAGGGGTTAAGGGGTGTCCAGAAACCACCTGTTGGAAGGTGCTGGTATATATGACCTTCCCTTCCCTTCCTGAACGTTCCGAGTTTGCACGTCTCACCGTGCACGTCTCACTGAGCACCCCGGGCGCGCGACGCTCATGTCATGCGTGGCCGCCGGAGGCCCGGCAGGAATCCATTCGTGCTGAGACGGCCGCGGTCAGCACGAACAGCTGAGACGGGCCCAATAGATCTGCTATCTGTAGTGCTATCCCATGGACACAAGAACTTTGCAAACGTTTATGTGCACATTCAAGACATGATGCCTCTATATGCTCTCAAATCCTCTCAAATCCCCAAATAAAGAATCGTTAGAAACACCTGAAACACACCAAGCGAACGCTTCTGTGCTTCTGTTCTCGGGAACACCCGAGACCAAGGAACGCTGGCGAATAAGTGGGCGTCGATTCGGTGTGCGGAAAACTCCGCACCGGGAGGATGTTAAAATGTTAAAAGAGTTCAACTACCGAAAAGTATGCATATATAATAGTGTACCCAATCACACAATTGTAATATATATAATATATGGTTAGCAAAACAATGTATAGATACCAATTTAAAAAAATTGTTTATAGACTATTTATAGATGCAAAACGTACAGTTGCTTTTACTGTGTCAAAGCCGCTTCTAAGGGGTGCTATGGCATTTTGGACGGTCCAAGCTGACAAGATGGAGCAAATGTTTCATCAGTGCAACTTGCAAGCAGGGTACTCTCCCTGGAAATAACTTGGAGGTGGAAAAACCCATTTTTGTAGAGGACACTACAAAGATCAATCTGAACCACCTGCATTGTTTCTACCTTGCAGGATCACTACTTTCAATCGATAGATTTTCATAGCTTCTCTTGAAGCACACGCCGTTCTTTTCAGAATAAAGATCGCAAATACAGGCTCAGTCATCGCAATTTGGATATACTTTTGCAATCTTTTGCCAGACTGCCATTGGCTCGCTCCTAATTGAAGACTCGCTATTCGATGCTTTCGGTCTCATAGTAGAGTCTCACATCCTTTTCATTTTCACATTCCATCTATCTCTATCTACTACCCGGTGAAAACCAAGGGGGTTGATAGATCGATAAGACGTCGTACAGTGCACCTGTAGAGGAAAATTGTCTTCCAAGGTGGCCACACCTCCAGCCGGATTCCCTGGAAAAGAGTGGCCGACTCCGACTCCCAAGCTGACTCGTAAGTCTCTGGAAGAGGCAGGAAGAAGAAGAAGGATCAGGAAGAAGAAGGAATCGCATGCAGAAAGAAAACATAGTATAGCAAACAAAAGGACACAAACAGCAAGAGTACGTACAAGCAACAAAGCTGAAGAAGAAGCAGGAAGGGACTTCAACACATCCGACAAAGAAAACCTTCCACAAAAACGTTGGCATAGATCCCTGTAATCCCTGCAAATGCAGTGACAATTGCTTGATCTTTCGACCCAATCCTTAACCCTTTTTCTACGTAATACCATATAATACCACTACACTTGGTGCTCCAGGTTTTAACCATCCCTATATTTTAAGTCCTCCAAAACCGAGTTCACTCAGGATGAACCTCCAGAATCTGCAAAAACAGTTTCTGATTCTCGCTTATAGGCTGAAACAGCTGCTCCTCGCAGTGCATCGATGTGCTCTTGTTTCTGTCCATGAAAGGCTCGAACTCGGCATCCAAAAGTTCAGACGCTTTGCGGTCGGCCGAAGCCCTGCGCGGCCGGGCGATCCAAAGCTGGGATCAACCGCTTTTCGGATTGGGCGGGTCCAAAAGAAGGTGATTTTCTCCGGTGTTCGCTTCCTGGAAATATCCTTTCATCAATTCACATCAGCAATTAATTTATGGATTTGAAAGTCCAGGAGCCCGGGATTCGGGAAAATCAAAGACGGTCAACCCCGATCCGCCCCAACCAGGTCGACGAGGACCCCGGTTGTTCCCCTCCTCCCGACGTGACACGTTCTGCCGACCGATCGTTTTCCGAGAAAACGTGGCGAACCGTGGGCGGCAGAGGAGTTTTTCGAGGTCCCAAGGTCGGTGTTTTGATGGTTTTTTGTCGAAGGCACCGTCGTTCGGTGCCTGGACCCTCCGTTCGATCGGTACTTGGTGACAAGTTCGGTGTCCACTCTGAGCTCCTAACACCACCTGTTGGAAGGTCCTGGTTAGTATGTGCCAGGAGGGTCTCCACCGTTCAATCTGGATGTCACATCGAGCGAAAGAGATGCAAGGTATACAACCGAGGGACCTAATCATAAAATATTCCCTGTGGATCCACATACCTTCTCAGAAGGTACCCTGAGGATCCGATATTGAAAAAAATCAATATCGCATTTTTTCAATAATATTGAACTTGATTTTGTTCAATCGTTTGATTGATTTTTTTCAACATTGAAGATTGAAAAAAATAATCAATATTTCTGATCAATATCGACCAATATCACGATCAATATCAAGACCAATATCAATGTCAAAAGGAACTCCACAGGATTCTAAAACTCCACAGGAACTCCACAGGATCGCCACAGGAACTCCACAGGATCTCGACAGGATGCTAAAGTCCACAGGAACTCCACAGGAACTCCACAGGATCTCCACGATCAATATTGACCAATATAATGATCAATATCACGATCAATATCATGATCAATATTTGAAACCAATATTGACCAATATCGACCAATATCATGACCAATATTATATTGATCACGATATTGATGTTTTTGGCTTCCAAGTTGGACATTTTCAATATTATTGAAAAAGATTTGGGACCAATCGTAAGATTGATTTTTTTCAATATCGGATCCTCAGGGTATGACTGAGCCCTCCAAGCCTACTGAAATACATTGAAAAAGTCTCCTATCATCTTCTCAGAAGGTATGCAGATCCATAGGGGTTATATAAATATGGTTACGTTCATTAAAATCCATCAACCAATACCAGCACCCACAGTGCCACTGTCCAGGTAAATGGACAGCCTTCGGCCTTAAAAAGAGACATCCCGAAACGGGGGCGCTGGTAGTAGCAAAAGGCTCATATGGTCTCAACCTCAATGGGTCCGGTTTGCCAGGGTCTGCTTCGTCGTCCAACACACCCAGCGAATGCCGGGCCATTCGCCACATGCCGAAGGCGAAGCAATTCGCCACATGGCCCCATACGTCGACGCTCATTTTCGACCGCAGGTGCGGGTTTCTTTGGCAAAACGATGGCAAAAATCGATGGATCTTCAGGTATGGCTCTGATGCGTCAACGGGCAACTTCAGGCAACTTCTCTCTCACGCTCAAACACGTTCAAACACTTCCAGGGACCTATCTGTCAGAAGCCTTGCCTTAGGCTCTTTCCCAACTTCACCAGCTCAAAACCGTTCAGGTTTCTTCGAAAGAAAACACTTGCCGTCACTTGCCTCGAGAGGCTTGCCCCCCACATCGCAACACCCAGCCTTCCCCGAGCGGCCCGAACAAGGTTCATGGAGCCTTACTTCCATCCGAACAAGCTCATGCCCTAGGACTCCATACACTTCTCCACTAAAATAGAAGAAGGGTGTTTTTTTGGGGGGGTTCCGGAAACCCCTTCTCCCTCGTAGGTCTCGGATTCTGGAAGTTCCGGTGTTCCCATGATCTTGGTGGGGCGAGGATCTCGGAGCTGCTGGGCGAATCGAGAACGGCGGAGCCACCATGGTGCAACGAGAACGGCGGAGCGAGTCGCTCCGGTTGGGCGGAAAAAGGACCTCGCAAAAGGCTGGCCCATGGATGTCCGTCGTTGGAATGGGTCGGTGAACCCACATGCCCAAAGCGAAGAAAAATGAAAGGAGGTCATCGTCATCCGGATTGGAGGGCTGAACTGCGCCAAGTGAGGGTCTTTGAGGGTCTCAGCCTAGCTGGAACTGGAGAGACTGGAAGGTCTCTCAAACGAACAAGGAGTTAGACTCACACAAAAGACCCATAATGAGTTGCAGGAAAAAAACACATCACAAAACACTGTTTGAACCACAAAGAGAAGAAGGAGGCATCCACTGAAACAAGCACTGCAACTGCAAACTGCAAAACTTCAATTGGTTGACAAAATTGAATAACACACTGATATATATATATATATATTTTTGTCGGGTAATATGACCCGTTGGAAGACTACAAACAGCTTTCACAAATCAGTCATTGCCCAGTTGTCCATCAATCCATCCGTTCCTTCCTAAAGAGGGTTGAGATCTATATAGTTATATAGAGTTCTTACTTGTTAAATAGTGCCAACTCATGTGTGCGTGTCTTGTTTGTTCTTTAAAAGATAGAAAACATGTTCTATGTGTTCCCCTTCAGGGCCGCCCTGTACTGCCGCAGATGTTCTGCCTCACGAACCCACAGAAACGAAGATGGGACAGATCCTTAAAACTCATCAGCTCATCCATCCTCATCCATCCTCATGAGCTCATCCTCATTCTGGGAGCATTGATGAATGCAAGTTCTAAAGTAGAGGACCATTCCCCAAAAAAATTAACCGAGTATATCGATGAAATGTCTAATAAAGTTTGGTAATTCTTGAAATACTAGATGAAACTCCTTGATAATTTATATTCATAGCTTATGAAGAATTATAAACCTAGTATTAACCTATTAGGATAGATTAATACCATAAATAGATTTATATATATATAGATAAATTAATTATACCTAACCCTATTACCATGGGGGGGACATGCAGGTCATTTTATAAATAAAAAATGGTGGACCCAACCACCAAAGGGCCATATCTTGAGCTACCTGACCCAAATCACATTTATATAAGATGACTGGACCTGACCAAAAATTTTGCCACTGTGTAATGTCAACCTAGGATTAGGGACCCCCCCCTATTAGTCTACCCAGCGTTCAGGCCCCTATAATAAACTAATTTGAACTATGAATTTCCACAGTCACCACCCTCTAATAAAAAAAATGTTTGGCTGAAACCCCCCCCTATTAGTCTACCCCCTGTCCCCCCAGGAAAAATACAATTATTCAAATATATATGTGTGTTTAATTAGTTTTGTTCTTTTTGTCTTTTCAATATTTTCTTGTTTTACCATGGTGAAACTGATCTTCTGATTGATTACCAATGCTCTCCCAAAGCAACAGCTTTCCTAGAATTTCCAAAAACTCTCTAGGAAAATTCTTTCATTTTCCCTTATTAAAACTCTATCAAAATCTGCAATTTGAGAAGCTCAGAAAGGGTACCCCCCATACACCCCCTACCCCCCTCTAATAGTGGGGTACCCCCCCCTATTAGTCAACCCCATCCATGATGAGCTCTCATGGACCTCATGATGAAAGGGAATTAGTATTTGGGCTCTCATGGATCTCATCAATCCATCCCAGCTCTTCCAAATACTAATTCCCTTTCATTCCAATTCTTCCAAATACTAATTCCCTTTCATCCCAACCCTTCCAAATACTAATTCCCTTTCATTCCGATTCTTCCAAATACTAATTCCCTTTCATTCCAATTCTTCCAATTACTAATTCCCTTTCATCTCAATTCTTCCAAATACTAATTCCCTTTCATTCCAATTCTTCCAAATCAAATTCCCTTTCGTCATCTCAGAAATCAAATTTGTGCCAATAAGCTCTCATGGATCTCATGATGAAAGGGAATTCGTATTTGGGCTCTCATGGATCTCATCATTCCATCCCATCTCATCTCCTCCTCCTGTCATCATCAGGTCATCCCCACTATTAGGGGGACGTGATCTCCAAAACCTCCAATCTCAGACCTTGTTGACCTTGTTGACCTTCTAGGGGGGGGGGGCCCGTTGATTAATCCGACGTCGACATTAGCTGCAAAATCTGCTCAGGATTCTGTCTTATGCTATCTATCTTATGCTTGATGACAATTTTCATGCCGCTTGTATTCAGCCAATAAAGGACGGTCATGTTTTCACACGCATTTCCACAATGCCATTTTGCACCATGAAATGTCTCTGCATAAAACCCCACTCCTCTATGAAATGAGTACCTGACGTGCACAGTGAGGGGGGCCATAAAACGTTTTATAATAGGGTTGACCCACCCCATTTCATAGAGGAAATGGGATGCCCTATAATTAATTGATAGAGATGGTGGGCAGCTTTGAGCAAGAAAGAACTTTGGTACCAGGACCTTCCAACAGGTGGTGTTCGGAGCCATCCAGAGGTGGTGAACCTGGACACCGAACTGGTCACCAGGAAACATCTGGAAGGTCCTGATAGAGAAACATCATGACTTGACATCAAGCACTTCCCTGTCTTCTGCATCGCAATAGTTTAATACTCCCATATATTTTTTATTGTATGTTTTCTATATACACTCTAGGGCTTCTGGTTTACAGTATCTCCAACCAGCAGGTGGGGCCCGAACCATTGAGTTTTTATATATATTATATAGGTGAATGCCCCAGTTCGACACCTGCTATTCACGAAACCAAGATCTCTGTGGTAGATCATTGAACTATATATATAATTATATATATATTATACTATACATAAAAATATAGTACGTTGATACATGTGTCATTTGCCCCCCCATACTTCAGAATGACCTCACAACCCTCTCACAACCTGTCACTTACAGTAAGTTGGCACAATGAAGAAGTAAAACAAAGTGATTACGCAGAAAACGCCCTGCAGTTTCAGCATGTGCACTCTCTTTGGAGCCTTTTGGGCTCATCCCACCCCAAAAGCATTTCGGGATGGGAGACCCAACTTTCTCAACGCCTCCTCTGCTTCATCGAGCTGAGCCTCAGAGCCTCGCAGTGGGAGGTCTGGTCCCGGTCTTGCTCTCACAGTCGGGGCTGACCTCTTTCAGTCCATTGAAGTGAAAGCCACAGAGCAAGCAGTTCCTCATGGTGGCATGTGGAATCCAGATCTGCAACTATATATAGATGTAAATCAGGATCACAAGACTGCTATGTACAGTAAACTGGACAAATTTGCTCCTGTTTGTTTCATGTGTTTTTTTTTAACTCTAATGAGAAGACTCCAAATTTTTCTGCCCACCACTGTAGGTTACACTCACAATCTTCTTCGAACCCATGGGCTGTGTGGTCCATGCTGGACTCGGCAGGCTGACCGGCGAGGATTCACCCCATCTACACTCCCAGACTTGAGAGTCTCGTCAACGAACAACTGAGGCCTGGGAGCTGCAGCTGCTGGCCACATCATGGATCAGGCAGTGTGATCGTGGGGATCATGCATGGCCATGGCATGCATGTCATGGCAAAAACTCACCCCAGGAACGGGAACACTCTACATGTCCGCAAGTTCCTCGCCACATTCGGCATCTAATATACATGGTTATCTGGAAACTGTACCTTCTAAGCCCTATTCGGCAGCGGACCTACTTTATAAGGTCCCAGAACTTGTAGGGGGATTGGTTCTTATCCAAATGACACATTGTAAAATCGGCACACCACACACAAAAAAATACAATTCCAAAAGCCTATACCGTGACACTCCATTATTAATTTAACTAATAACGTGTTTTTTTCCCTAAATCCACCAACCTGTGGCACTATGCAGGTCTTCATATTGTATGATTCTACCACTGACCCACGAAATCTCACCACCAAGCAAATTCTCAAGGCACGAGTGTGACACAGGCGGTCTGCTGCAAGTCTTGATCAATGGGTGGAGTCTCATCATTCCAATAACGCATCCAAATCAGCACCCTCACTGCCACCGCATTCGACCTGTTGCCCCAACCAATGCGTTCGACCTGTTGGATGGTGCTGGAATGTATCCAATGTTGGCATTCGACCTCTGAATCCCAGTGTTTCGGTGGAGATGTCAGCCGCAGCTCGGGCACCTCCGCTGCCAAGCTCGGGTGGACCGCACATCCCGCTCCGCGGATCGCGGCCCAGATCCATCCAGATCAACAGCAAGCAGAGCGGATTTGCAGGAAGAAGCTGGTCAGATTCAGAGGATTCATTTCACCCGAAATGCCGAACTCTCAGGACTCTACAAGTCTTATTTCTTCTGGTGAAATCTGGTCACCTTCAGTCCCTTCCTCCAATCGTTTTTCCCAGGAGTCATGATTTAGTGGATCCCGCAGCCGGGGTCAAAGTGGGAGAGGGGATGGATCTCCGATCTCCATCACATCCCATGCAGTTGCCATACCACATCAAATCACCTCCTAATCAGCAAAATCAGGTTTCGTCCCCCAAGTTGCCTCAGTTCTGGAAAAGCCTCAGAGTCCAGGACCTATCGGTCCGACAGGGTCTTGACAGGGTCATGCGTCTCCAGTCATCGAATCTGGTTGAGGGAACCCGCAAGTCATCGAATCAGCGGTTCCAGTCATCTTCTTTGTGAGAATGCTGCCTCAAGTGAATTGGACAACCGTTCACCACCACGCCTCAGTTGGGCTTTGTGAGGGGTTGCATTGTCCACTTAGCATGAAGAAACAGCTGTCTAGCCCCTGACCAGAGATTCTTCTTCTTCATGCAAATCCCGGAAAATTCCACAGGAACCTGTGGCAAGCGACCATGCCGACCCAGCTTTAGACGCCAGCCAAAGCATGATCGCCGCGAGCATATTGTCCAGGCCTGAGAGAAAGAAGCTGCTTCTCAAAATATGAGGTTGTCTTTGGGTGAAAGGTTCTAGCGCATGACATGTGTGGCACAAGAATAGAGTACCATTAAAATAGGCTATAGACACATGTTCTACAAATTCTCTCGATATATCTATATAACAAACAGACCAAACAGTGGATATATATTATATATATAACATCAGGTCATTAAACATGGTTGGCTTCCGGACGTCCAAATAACTTCCAAAGAGTCACCACACTGCCCCCTACTTTTCGGGGATACCCCAAAACGACGCCTCAACGAACGAACGTGGCGGCGGCTTTCTCGGCCTCACTCCTGTACAGCTTTCTCGGTGAAGAATTGAATCGATTCGCATTTGCAGCTCTCGCGGGCACAGCAGCCCACTGTCTTCCTTGGGATCCCATGCAGAATGGAAATCTCTGGCGGACATTAATTTGTGATAATTTGTGTATGTTTATATACAGTACCCGGAATTGTACATGTTTGACACGTTTGATGTCTTTTGCATGTTTACATGAGCTGCTCATGCCAGCAGTTCCAAACTCATGGTGTTTTGTGTTGCATCTGTCTGCATGTCCATCTCTTACCACAACAACCCCTGCGGAACTCCTGGTGTGCCCTGGTGGATTTTACGGAACATACAGTGGTTTCAATTGAGTAGACATCGTAGACCTAGACCATTTCTAGGTCTAAGGAGTCTAAGGAATGTCAAAACCACTGGGTACAAGTTGGCTCCCAAAATTGCTACTTCGTGCCATTCTGTATGCTCTTCTATCATTAGTACTCTCCAGTTCCAACCCACTTCTGGTACTCCCAAAAAGCTCCAGCTTCTGCTGCACACTCTCGTCGGTCCATTTGCTGTAGTACTCACGCTGTTGCTCGGTGATCAGGTACCTCGCGGTCTCGGCGGGTCTCGGTTCAGGTCTGCCGCGGCCGGAGCTAAGAGATGGTCTGGTCAAGTACCAGTGTAGAGGGCAAGATGTAAATAACAGATTGTTAATGAGTAAAACATGTTTCGTAGACGGACCGAACCCAACAGGTGGTCGACTAGGAACTATCCGAGTCGGGAGGGTCCGGGTAATTACATGAACAAACACAACCTCCATAGTGGTAGACACACGATAGTTGGTCAATGTCAAGTCTTTGCGACATCACCCTGGCTGACCCTGGCGATATCAGCACCAGTCATTCCATGTGCTTCCATGAAATTCACCAGGTTTCACCAGGTTTCACCTGACTGCACCGACCTGTTCACACCAGAGGATGAACCTTGGGCGCCGTTGCTGGGTGGTGCATGCCGCTTTGGAAAGAAACGTGTTTGATACATGGCAATTCCAGAAGCAAATGTGTTCATCATCCAAGGCACAGGAAGATCAGGAAGCCCACGATCACCGCAAGAACGCTTAAGAACAGGAAAATGATCGCGTTACTCACCTCGGAGGTCATTGTGCCTGGCTAATGACACCGTAGTTACCAACATGGTTGAGAGAAGTCAAGGGATGCAAAGGATGGATACCAAACGCACCAGAACCATGGAAGGTCCCCTGAAAGCGTCCATGTTCTTCGTTGAGTCTGGCATGGCCCAGTTTGGATGCATGTGGTCAACAGCATCATTCTGGCAATTCCCGCTCTCCTGATGCAATTTTGGGAGTCTTGACAGTCTAGAGTCCATCCAGCATGCACTTTGCTGTCATCCGTATTCCTGGGACCATGGGATAGAGACGAATGGCTCAACGTCAGCTTCAACTTAAGGAGTGTTCATTTGGCTGTGGTGCCACCCATGTCACCCCTTGTCAAGGACAAATCGACCATGCCACCTGCTCTTTCCAAGAGGTTATTCTGAGACATCACCGTTCCAATGGAGTGGGAGTCCAGTCTTGTCGCTGCTGAGCGGAGCAATCTATGAATCTCTGCGATGCTGGATGCCTGAATAGATCATCTATGACCATCGATGATAGCTCAAATACAAAGACGTTTCCAATCCAAGCGGCTTCTAGAGGCAAATGTTGTCTCTGTTCAGCACCCATGTTGTTCCCATGCACCAGGCGGAATACGTTCAACTCTGCGCTTGTTAAGCAAGCAGTGTGGGGCGAGGGGTCATCAAAATATCAGAAATCACACAATGAAAGGTTCAGGACACATTCGTTCCAATCAGAATCATGAACCCATTCATTCCAAAAGAATCATAAGAAACACATGTTCACTTGTTGTATTTCTGACAGCTGTTGACGACTTTACGTTGGCTTGGCCCCCCGTCTTTCGCGCCATTGCGACCAAACGTGGCCGGCAAGTGGCGCCATCGGCAAAGGGCAACAAGGCTAGGATGGCGGAGGTCCTTGGGCTGAGCCGAGGCCTCTTCCAGTCGAGGCCCCACCCTGAAAACCCCCAAATGCCTAAGCTGTCACAGTTGGAACTACGATCGGACCCAAGCTTTTCAAAAGTCAAGGCCTCTTCCAGTTCTTGCTATACAGCTATAGGCTATAGGCTATGAGGCTTTGGGGGTTCCCTCCCTGCTCCGAGTCCAGCTTTCTGCGCTCTCGCCGTCGCGTCTCTGATCCGAGCAAGTCCGAGGTCAGCAGCGAGTTGGGTGAGTATCTCTTTTGCAACCCAAGGAGGTCCGTGCTGGCGGTGAGGTCCATGCTGGCTCTCGAACCTTCTATGAACCTTCCATGAATCGAAACAAAACAAAGGTCCGAACCGCACGGAAGCGGGCCGTAAGAAGGCGTATTACAATCCAAGATCTCTCATCTTCAGGCCGTGCGGGCCTCGGTCTGCAACTTCTAATCTTTACCTAGAACCTGAATGATTTCTATTTTGGAACCCCAACCACCCAAGGGTCAGTTGGGTTCCAGGTAGGGTCACATCTCACCTGCCATCCGTCCGCTCATGCCACTGAGGCACGCAGCGTTGAGGTTCCGCAGCAGCGACACACTGAAGGCGTCGCTGAAGAGCATCCCTGCGACCTCGGGCAGACCGAGCGCGCTGGCGGCGGATGAGCCGAAAGACACGCCGTTGACCGGCACGAGACGCGAGTGGTCGCGGAATTGAGACGCTTTGCAGCGCGGTTGGACTTTCTGCAGGTTGGAGGTTTTGGAATTCGTCGGTCTTGAAGGAAGGCAGCAGTCAAAGGTCTTAGCTTCGTGGATGGTCTTAGGCGGACGTGCCGGCGATGGCTCAGCATTCAGGAAGCTTTCTGGAGACCAATTACAGTGACCCTAGTCGCCAGCGCACATGACGTCATGCGTATGTCGCCAGCGCAGGTAGTCGCCACAGGCAGTGAATGTACATCGTTGATCAGCTGCATTGGCCGCACATCGCTGATCAAGTTGGGGGGTCTCTCTTTCTCCCAGGCACGCGGAAGGGCTAGCCCCAACATCTCCCAAGCATTGTCTGGGTGTTGGGGTGTTGGAAATTCAGGGTTGACGTTTAAAAAACGACGGTCCCCAACTGGTTTGGACTGGAGGTCGTGTCCAAAGGACCTCACCAACACCAACAGTGCGAGCAAACACCGAAGCTGCCTCCGCCGAACGCTCCACCTCGCGATGAAAACCAACCGGTGGAGTCGGTCTCCACATGCCATGGAACTGGTGTGCTGAACCAGGTCTGGTGCTCTTCAATGGTTTTGCCGAATCCCAGGAAGCTACACAGCACCCGCAGCAGATAGGCCAGGTCGAAGGGACACCTCAGTCAGGCAGGGCGCCTGGGTGAGGCGTGACACATCGCAGCTGCCTTCGTCTTTTTCTTCGGAATCCACCGATTTCGGGAGGAGCTGGGGATCCTAGAGTGAAACACATGGAATATATAGGCGGAAAAGGGCTGTTCCTCTCTAGGTGTGAAGGACTACCTTTTGTATATGTTTGTATCCTTTTGTTCAGATTGTAACCGCTCCAAACACCACTGCTAAATGCGACCCGGGTCAATCTGACGGCAAGGATCGCTCTACAGGGCTCTACACATCTGGCTCCCATGGTAATCAAAGTTTCTGAACCTACAGGCTCTCAAGGCCTTCATAGTCCTCGTTCTTCATGTTCTTCAGGCTTTCTATAGATTCTATCCACCGGTTCATCCAAAGGATGAACGCTGGTCAGACGATCTTCCGTCCGCACATCCACCGTCCGCACCGTCGACACAGCTTCGCTTCCCGACCCGACCCGACCAAGGTGCCACACCAAGAGAAGTCCTGATCCGTGGACCGCTCGGTTTCGGGTGATCCGGATCCACCTTCTGCGGTTTACAACCACGCTGAGAGGCAACAAAGAGGCAACTGATGTCATGTGATCTATAGCTATGGAGTTGATACATAAATAACTGAGACACTACCAATGATTCAAAAGATAGGAATGTCCAGCCTGGAGGTACGCACCTCTGCTATCTAGCTCAAGCTGAGAATAAGGAGTCCAGGCACGTGAACAATACTCTAACTTCTAATGATGTTCATTTAAGACATATAAACTGCATGATTTCATTATATCAGTTCATCGGGGTTCTGTGCCATGTCTTTGACAACATCAGCTTCTTGAGATGAAACTTCGAGTTCCTTGGCGGAGAAAGTGTTTGAACATTGTGACTGCTTGTGGCACTGCCCAAGGAATCTTGTAGGCTGAAGCTGGCTGCAAGCTCATGCCCACAGAAGCTCATTCGGTTATGAGTAGGTCCCATGCTCCTGGAATCATCGGGACATTTGGTTGCATTGGACTGCTCTAGGACTTGGTGTGTCTTAAGAAACAAGAAGCCCCCCGGCCCCACCGAGGCCTTCCCGCCCATCTTTTTGATGTGTTCCTTTTTGGTCTATTTCCCGAGTCGCCTGGGAGGTCTCCTTTTTGTACACACCCACATCTTTCTTGCAATAATGGGTCTAAGGATGTCTAAGGAGTCCAGGGTCTAAGGTTTTTCTTTCCGAATCGAAGATCTGCCAGCAGCCAGCAGCCTGGATGTTAAGAGTATGGGTGCCGTCGACGCCGTCGACGTGCGTCGGCTCCAAGCACTTACTTCGACTCCAACCTGGCACACCTCCGTCTACACTGGAAGAATCATTGGCCGGAATGGCATGGCCTCCTGTTTATGACCATGGCCCTCCATTGGCCCCCGAAGACCAAACGGCCGGCCCAGGTGCTTCAGTCCCGAAACCACGAGGATTGGTGCCACGGCCAACACTCCGTGGCTTTATCCCTAACGAGTGGTTTGGCCAAGGTCACCGAGGTCACCGGGGTCACCGAGGTCACCGGGGTCACCGAGGTCACCGGGGTCACCGAGGTCCCCGGGCTCAACAGTGATTGGGAGAGGTCTGATGTTCCATGATCAACCCCATTCGGGTCCCAAAAAACAGAAACCCCTTACCCATGCCTACATCAGGGTGCTTCAAACAAGTTCAAGGTATGTATAATTATACAACATGTCAGCCACTGGGAGAATCAGGGTGATACTGGAAGGTTCCAAACAAAAAAGAACGTCCATCCATCGTTGCCATCGCGTGATCCGCAAGGTGCAACACAACACACCGCTGCTCACACGCCGCCGTCTCCATCGTCTCCAGACTTCGCCCAAGCGTCTGAAACCGACGAACCATGGGACTGATCGGTTCACCCAGTAGTTCAGGTCATCTCGAGCCACCTAGAGAGGTGGGTCTGAAGGTGCTGGAACACGCATGAGAATGTTGGAATTTCCTGTCAACTGGGAAACACATGAAGAAATCATCTGAGGAAGGGGAAAATATCCATTGCTCCATCAGCAAAACCAGGAAATTCTGTTATTGGTTTGAAATCTTGGATCCCCTGGTCTCCTTCAACTGACTCTTGCCACTGATAGTCCATCCCTTATGCCTCCGAGTAGTCCCCATGTTTGGCCGTGGCAAAGAATGGGGTGCCTTTGGCGACACAGGAATGGTTAGAGTGGTCCCCGTATACTGTAGACAATTTCCAAAACATTTTTAGTGGGGATCTACTTTTCTATTTATTTGATTCTATTTGGGGGTCTCTATATCTGTATTATATAGTATATATATATGTTCTTTTTTTCACCTGCACCAGATGCAAAAAAGAAACACCCACGTTGGAGCGCTTGGCAAATCAGTCCCGAATACGATTCTTGGCCATTTCTTGGCCAACACGTATCAAAGGTGTCACTTGGGGTCTAATAAATTCAAAACACCATGGGGACCTGGGCTGTTTGGCTTAAGTTATTGTGGCTCAAAACTAAAGTAAACAGTAAAACGAATTAAAACCATGTATATAAAACTTAATAGCTTCCAAACTTCATAGGGTAAAAGGACGACTCAAAAACTTATATAGGTCATTGGGGATAAAAACAGGACCCCCCTTCATATGATCCTAAGATATTCTGCTTGTACAACTCAACTCCTGGAGTTTGGAGTTGAGTAGTCGTTCCAAGTGCGACTGAGAATCAGTCGCACCAAAGGCCCTGTTCCTTACGTCTCGTCGCTTGTGTGTCCCTCCGGACTACGTCACGGCGGAACCTTCCGCGTTTCCGCGTCTGCGTCGTTTCCGCGGCGTCCGCCGACGCCATGGACGGTCGATCCGAGGGACAGCTGCATGGTAGTTGGACATCCTGAGCCTGGTCGCTGGTCATCGAAACAGGTGCCGAAACATGGGCGGTTTGGTCGGTCGATCGGTCTCGCTGCCGACGTGGGGAGCAGCAGCGAGACGGCCGTTTTGGTCTTCCAAGAAAGTCTGGTATGATTCTGTATTGTATGGGCTACATTTGTTTCGAAAAATGTATCTTGTTATTATTGTTGCATATTGTTGCTGCTTTTGTTGATGACTGTTGTTGGTGCTGCTGTCGTGGTTGTGGTTGTGGTTGTGGTTGTGGTTGTGGTTGTGGTTGTGGT